GAGAGAGAGAGAGAGAGAGAGAGGAGCTGGATAGCTTTAGGCACCACTGCTTGTTTTTAAAGAAGCAGTTTGTGGAGAGGTCATTTCCTGTCCACACTGTAGACTAGTTCAAAAATATAATTCTCCTCACAGCCTGACAAGAGGTCTGAGGTTTGGTTTTAATTTTTTTTTTTTCCTCTAGCCAGGACCCTCCACAACCTGATTGCTAGGCTTGTTAGCACAGAGGGGGTTTAACTGCTGGCTAAGCACCCACCTCTGACAGCCACTCTGTTGGGATGTCCCAGAAATGGGATTACTCCAAAATACAGAAGCACCAGCACCAAGGTAGCTCCCCCTCTCCCCACCGTCTGAATTTGGGCTGGTGGTTCACTCACTGCCAAGACTTATCTGGGGACTGACCTGCCCCCTTAATTTACCTTTACTTCCTGTTGCTCCAGTTTTCTCATTCTGCCCCCTCCACGCCCCATCCCTCCCCAATCCCCTCTCTTCCCAGCCCCTCCACACCCCATCCCTCCCCAATCCCCTCTCTTCCCAGCCCCCTCTCTGAGGTTCAATGAAAACAATCATTCTGAATGTGGAATTTCTAAAGTACAGTTATAGGGCAATGGATTTTGTCTTCCTAGGAGGGGAAAAAAAATAAATCCAAAAATCAAACCTCCCCACATGATAGGAAAAACAAAGAAAGAGAAAACTCTACCAAAACGACCATGAAAAATTCAGTTGAGCAGGAAATCACAGAGATAATCGAATGGACCATCCCCAATAACATGTCCAGCTCCAAGGGGGACAAAGTCTTTCTTTTCCAACACGGGTCAAGAGTATAAATCTTTTCCCCACTGTGGTATGAGGCAAGGGGAAGGAAACCCTACAGCCCACAGGAGGGAGAAGAATCTTTGCAGAGAAGGAAGGGATCTGAAAGATGATCAAATTCTGCTGGACCCAATGCTAACCAGGTAACACTTGAAGCCTATTCACAGAAAATTTAAATATATTGAGCTAACACCTAGCTAGGTCAGTGGAATGTAGGAAATAAAGCCGAAGACCACCAAAAAACATGATGAATACAAGACCTGAATGCAAATGCATGCAAATGAGACATTTCCTCTTTTTAATAAGCAGATTAATTAACTTTCTGCCCCCATCCTGGCTTGGGTATCTCCAAGTCACTAGCCAACAGGGGACAAGGGATTGCTAATTCTGTAACTGACACTATTAAAAATACTCAGGCACCAAAGTGTCCCCCAAATGCTGTCTTGATCAGTCCTTTCCCATAACTGCATGAAATGCCTGCAGAGTCCACCCCATCCTTCCTGCAGCAAAGCCCAACGCAGTGAAGTCGCTTGCCAGGATGAGATTAGGGGAGGGATTAGACTGAGGCTGCTTGGAACTTGTGCTAGGAGACCCCAAGGCAGGCCAGAATACTTGGTTTCAGGTTTCATTACAAATCCAAAAGCTGCACCAAATTGGCTGCAAGGTTTGTCAAAACACATAACCTTCTAAAGACAGTATTTCAAACAATTTTGGTGTGATTTATGTTTTGGTATGGCGGCCACTGCAAGACCTAGCAGTTTCTTATGGTTAAATTCCCAAACTTAAGACTTTACATGAGTTTGGAGTCTGCCTGAGTTGGTGTAGACATAGCCATCTCAGAGCAAGAATCAAAGTCACACCTAGGCAGGGTGTACAGCCCACCAGTCATCACAAACGGACCAGCTTAAACTGCCATTTAGGGGAAGAACCTCTTTCTGAATCAGGGTATGTTTTGCCCTTGTTAGTTCCTCCAGACTATTCTGAGTTATAGCTGGAAACACGTCTTGCTGTTAATACCCAAAGATTCCAAAATCAGAACTGTCTGAAACTTGGCAACGCTTGAGTCACACCCATAGAGCTCATCTCTGCTAGTTCAAGAGTCTCCAAACTGGTCTCCCTGCTCACAGAGCCACAGATCTCTCCTAACTTGTGATCTGCCCTCATTCGACTCAGAATGTTCACTGTAGATAAGTAAAACTGGTATCTCATGCTTTTACCCTCCCCGTTTCTCCCCTGCCAGCTAGGCTGGGCACAGTGGCTCACACCTATAACCCCAGCAGTCTGGGAGGTGGAGGCAGGGAGATTGCCTGAGCTTAGGAGTTCGAGACCAGCCTAAGCAAGAGGGAGACCCCCGTCTCTACTAAAAATAGAAAATAATTAGCTGGGCATCCTGGTGGGTGCCTCTAGTCCCAGTTACTTGGAAGGCTGAGGCAAGAGGGTCATTGGGACCCAAGATTTGAGGTTACTGAGAGCTATGATGCCAGGGCACTCTACCCAGGGAGACAGAGTGAGACTCTGTCCCAAGAAAGGAAGGAAGGAAGAGGGTGGGGAGGGGGAAGGGAGGGTGGGAGGGAGGGGAAAAGGAAAAGAAAAAAGAGGAAGGAAGGAAGGAAGGAAGGAAGGAAGGAAGGAAGGAAGGAAGGAAGGAAGGAAGGAAGGAAGGAAAAGGAAAGGAAAGGAAAGGAAAGGAAAGGAGAAAACGTCTCAGCTCCTTAGGCACACAGCACAGAGACTCAGTAGAACCTGCACTCCCATGCTCCCTCCCTCTCACCCTTTCTTCTCTCTCTTTCCCTCTCTCTCTCTCAACACATATCTATTTATTTATTCATTGTTTATCCATTGATTCATTTATCTGCTATTCTTGATCCTCTTAAAGTTACAACCTTCTTTCATGCCTGACCACATCTGTACTTGCCTTTCCTGTTTGCCTGCAAACTCCTACTCATCCTTCCAGCCAAATAAATAAACTGTCTCCTCCCTGTTAAACCTTTCCCAATGATGCCTTCATTAGTTTATTTATTCAACAAGTCTTCCTCTCACAGTAAGGCGTAGCTAGCAGCACCGGCCAGTGCACACTTCAACCCCCGCGGAGCCCCTCTTCCTTGCTGTGTGAACTAAAGCAAGGGACTCACCCTTTCTGTGCCTCCGTCATCTCACTGGGACAATGAGGACAATGACAGCAACTAGACCGTAAGATGGCTGCACAGGATTAGCTAAGACATCTGAATGTATTAGCACCCATTGCTCAGGCAATGCTAAAATTATTAGGTACCTGATATCTGCTCAGGTGCTAGGGGAGTTTTGAGAGGCCATGGTAGCAAAGCAGGTGGGCTACTTGCCACCCTGACTTTGCAACTTGGGGAGGATAAGGGGGAGAGAGTGTTGGAAAACTAGTAAACATCTAGGGACACCCCTTCAAATTATAGTGTATGCTTTGATGGAAATAAAAGGAAGAGATGGAACATGATTCCCCCTGTGGGTCAGCAGTGTCCCCTCCATATTCTTCTGTTTGGAGGACTTACACATAAAGTAACAGTGACTGACCCTTGTTCAGCACTTTGTATATGCTAGACAATTAATTTTAGGTAACTTATGAGATTCGCTTGATTATTGTTTCCATTTTACTGATATGGAAACTGAGGCTTCAAAGGGGAAGGAAGTTCTTCAAGGTCAAGCAACCAGGAAGTGACAGATGAGATGCACCCCCAGTCTACCTTCCTGTTAGGTCTTAGGCATGTTGCTGCTCAGAGCCCAGATTCAGCCTCATCTTGAAGACCTCTCTGGTTTGAGAAGTTATTTTTTTAAAGTAGATTAAAAGATGAAAATGTCTTTATTTATACAGATGTATGGGGTACATATGCAATTTTATTACATGCAAGATTGTGTCTTAGTCAAGTCAGGGTGTTAGGGTATCCATCACCCAAGCAACAAACATCATACTCATTACCTAATTTCTCATCATCTGCCTCCCCATCACCTCCTGTCTCTGATTTTCCTCCTGTGGGCAGTGTGGTCCCAAGCCCTTAACAGGCACTCCAGTAGACTTGGTTAAAGGGAAGGAGAGGCGAGAGGATGACACAGCTCCCATCAACTGAGGTTTATTTTCCATCTTGATTAACTTCAGACCTCCATGTACCCCTGCCTTGCTTCCGCCCCTCTCCCTGAAGCTTTCTCAAACGACTCTGACAATAGTGTCTGAAGTCTCCCTCTATGCACCCCCAAGACCACACTGGTAGGCGTCTGATCTTTGCTCCATCAGGTTACCTGACTGTTTTTTTTTTTTGGCCAGGGCTGGCTTTGAACCCACCACCTCTGGCATATGGGACTGGCGCCCTACTCCTTTGAGCCACAGGCACCACCCTTACCTGACTGGTTTTATCACTTGTTTGTCTGTCTTCTTTCCTGCTTCATGAGGGACCTACTAGGACTTGTCTTCTTCTGACCCAGGGCTGAGGCTCAGAAGGGAAAAAAATGAAGTCCTTATTTTAAGACTCAGTGAACTCCTTCAGAAAAGCAGTATTTACTTACAAACAAGCCAAACTCCAAGCATAACAGTTCTATTACCCCCGATGGCTGAGCCAGGCTCATTTGTGTATTGTTTCGTGTTTGGAGCACTGAGTACATCCCCCAAGTCATCATGCAGAAGTTCAGATGCTCTGAAAGCTGACCTGACCTTCACATTAGGGACTTTATCCAGCCAGGCTCACTTCAAGTTTAACTCACAGCCTGATTATTGCCCCATTAATGTGAAACACTTGCCCACAATTTAAAACATGAAGGATTTCACATGCAATCCAGAATTTTGCCTTCTCTTGAAACATCATAAGCTGTGGCCACCCCTGGCCCATCCCTGTCTGCATGGTCCTGTGCAGCTGGACCTGGGGCTTAGTGTTTGTAGACCCACAATGGTTTCCATCACTCTAACACTTCCAGGTTCCATTTACCTGCCTGAGTCATTGTCCTTAATTTTTCTTTTTTTTTTTTTTTTGAGACAGACTCTCACTCAGTCACCCTAGGTAGAGTGCCCAGGCTAGACTGCCACGACATCATGGCTCACAGCAAACTCAGACTCTTGGCCTCCAGCAACCCTCCTGCCTCAGCCTCCCAAGTAGCTAGGACAGGCGCTCACCACAACACCTGACTCGTTTTTCTA